GCTCCAACCGGATGCAGCGTTTCGGAAGATTGAGCAGATTTCGGGGTCATCCGGTGGCAGGTCGAGGTACTGAAGGGCAGCAGGGATCAGAGTGAGTGGGATTTGTAGAGGGGGAACTTTGTCGCCGTCTTGAACGATGGCCCCTTCGACATCATTGACGACCTTCAAGTTGCCATCGGCGCCGAAGGCTGCATTACCCACGTCCTTGGATACGACGTCGAAAGCCTCGTCAATGCGGCGTTGTACGTGATTAGAAAGCGTGTAGAACAAGGAATCTGAGGATGATGACATATGAGAAGAAACGATCAAATTCCATGTTGTAATTTCGTTTATTTAGAGCCCTTGCCTCCCCCCACATAGCGCATGAATTATGAGGTATCCATCTCATCGCCGCCGATTAAAAGGGTCTGCTCCTCGACAATCAACTTCCTCACATCCTCTTTCTTCCACGCCGTTGTACCTCTTCTGAACTTGTAATCGCGCTCCTTCTGTACCCGGACGTTGGGCATTTCTACGTTTCGAAGCATCTCAGTGTTGTTGGCGGTTATGATGCAAGCGTCGATGTTGGAACCTGATCCAAGATCATTGAAAATTCCTGCAGCGATGGCAAGTTTGACAAGGTTGAGAGCATCTTCTCGCTACGGAACAAATGTGATACAGCACGGGATGGAACTAGGTCAAACCCACCTCCATATTTGGCTTCCAGCCGCTTTCAAAAACAGCCATCGCAGCCAAACTTCCAGAACCCATAGTAACATATGGAAGCTTGTCCGTTGAGCCATGAGGATGGATTGTAAAGAGGTGAGCACCGGTGGCATCAACGCCGCCCAAGACCAGTGCGGCTCCAACTTGCCCTTGATATCTGAGTAGATATATGTGAGAAAGGGTGCATGAATGAGCCATTAAATGCATACCTAAAAAGCATCTGCTTCAACATGGTCATGGCAGTCACAACGCGAGGCTTGCGTCCAGTTTGTAGGGCGTGCATCTCCATGTTTGAAGATATTAGAGCAGTGGTGAA